TAACAGCAGGTGTGTAACAGCAGGTGTGTAACAGCAGGTGTGTAACAGCAGGTGTGTAACAGCAGTTGTCTAACAGCAGGTGTGTAACAGCAGTTGTCTAACAGCAGGTGTGTAACAGCAGGTGTGTAACAGCAGGTGTGTAACAGCAGGTGTGTAACAGCAGTTGTCTAACAGCAGGTGTGTAACAGCAGGTGTGTAACAGCAGGTGTGTAACAGCAGTTGTCTAACAGCAGGTGTGTAACAGCAGGTGTGTAACAGCAGGTGTGTAACAGCAGNGATTTATAGGGCACTTTACATTCAGGAATCCCAAAGTGCTACAAAAAAATAACATTAAAAATAAAATAATATTCAAACATGGCCATAGAAGGTGTAAAACAGGAAGGTTTTTAGTCCTTTTCTGAAAGATTCAACAGTCTGTGGTTCCCTTAARACGAGGAGCAACAGGGCAGGATGCTCRGCCCCCCGTGGTKCTGAGCTTTGTTCTGGGGATTTAGGACAGGAGTTACCAGAACAGAGAGAGCGAGTTTTATTGTGTGGAAGGAGCCGTTCTTTAAGGTAAGGGGGTGCATTGCCATGTAAGCACTGGTGTGTCAGAAGACCAGTCTGGTACTGGATTCTGGATTCTGGCAGGGACAGGAAGCCAGCGCAGAGAATGCAGAACAGGTGTGATATGGTCATGTGTTTTGGTTTTTGTCAGAAGACGTGCTGCGCTCTTTTGGATGAACTGGAGTTTTTGAAGATTTTTATTTGAAATATATTTTTTATTTGAATATATTTTTGATTTTATTTGAAATTTGAGTAAATTTCATTACAGTAGATGTTTATCAGAGAACGCTGTAGCTAACTTTAAAGAATCTCTTCCATCTTTATTCTCCTCTGTCTTACAGAATAATGTAACAGAGAACAGTAACTTACATGGTCTTGTTGATAATATTGTAACTTTAATACAAACCTCTCTTGATGAAATTGCTCCACTAAAACAGAAAGTTATTGATCGAGGAAGTCGACTCCTTGGTTTAATTCAGAATTATGTTCTTTAAAACAGACATGTAGAAAACTAGAGAGAAAATGTCGCTCCACTAACATAGAAGAGTCTTATTTAACCTGGAGACACAGCCTGCTAACATATAAGAAACCCTTCGTAAATCTAGAACTGTATATTATTCATCTTTAATAGAAGAGAATAAAAACAATCCCAGGTTTCTGTTCAGTTCTGTAACTAGACTAATGAAAAGTCCTGTCTCTGTTCAGACATGTATCACTATAACTTTAAGTAGTGATGACTTCATGAGATTCTTTATAGATAAAATAATTTTAATAAGGAATAAAATTCATTACAAACTTCCTGCTACTGTCTCTGATTCTCTGTCAGATGAGGCAGCTTTAGTGTCAGTAGAACCCGATTTATGTTGGACAGTTTTTGTCCTGTTGAGCTAGGGTTGGGCAATATTGGCAAAAAATTAATCATGATTAATTGTGGTATTTAGCCAATAACGATTAATTTGAGGATTAATCCCCCAGAGTCCCTGGACACCCTTATGTCCTGGTCACATGACCAACTTATAGGGAGAAAATTGGCTCTTTGTAAAAATCTGTTCCAAATTGTGTCAAAATTACAGACTTCAGGCTATACATCAAACTTTAAATCGTGTTGATAAATAAATTACACAACTTTTTTTAATGTTGGTCACATTTGAATCAGAGAGGAGCACCAAGCAGTTAGTCTGCCTGGTGGCATTAATCGTGTTAATCGTCAAGTGCCAAAAATTAATTGATTAATGTTTTTCTGATTAATTGCACACGATACGATTATGCCCAACCCTATGTTGAGCTCAGAATTATCTAAAATAATAGCTTCATCCAAACCATCAACATGTCTGTTAGATCCCATCCCAACCAGACTGTTCAAAGAAGCATTTCCCTTAATTATATTTTAGTTTATCTCTAATAAATGGTTATGTGCCACAGAGCTTTAAGGTTGCTGTAATTAAACCTTTACTTAAGAAACCAGATCTTGAT